AGAGATGCCTTGCCTGGCAGACTCTCTCTCCTTGCCTTCCTCTGAGCCCCCAGGGGCTGCCTGCTGCTCCCTTTGCAGCTCTGCTTGGGCACTAGGATCTCACTTCCCCGGAAGCTTCAACTCCTCATTCCATCCCCACAGATATTCGTCTGCAAGCATCTTTGGCTGTGTTCTCAAATTTCTCTTCTCCTACACTTCATCCTTAATATAGGTTTTGGGCATGAGTCTTCTTATGTTTATCTGTCCATCTGTCTCCTTGGCCCTTTCTCCTTGGGCTCCCCTCCCCTGCCCCCGCTGATTGTATTCAGTTCCCAATGACTGGTGTCTGTCACCTCCCCCTAGCCCCCCCCCCCCCCACCCCGCCTGTGCCAGATTCCTGAGACACTCCAGGCTCTGTGCTGAGTTTTACAAATATCGTTTCTTTTAATCCTTAAAACAGCTCATCAGGTGGGCACTGGTCTCATCCCCTCAACACATCAAGCACACTGTAGCCTCAGGGCCTTTGCACTGCTTGCTCTCTCTGTGTCTTGAGCTCTCCTGGGCCTTCACATAACCCCCTCCCTCACTCCTTCAGACCTCTGCTTAGATGTCACCTTGGCTGAGGCCTTGACTTATCAACCGATTTGAAATGCTTCCCTCACCCTCATATTCCTTACCCCCTTGACTCTTGTTTTTCTTCCTAACACTTAGAGCGGCTGGCATACGATATAGTTTACTAATTTGTTGACAGTTTCCTTCTACTAGAATGTAAGGCCTAAGGGACAGGGGTGTTTATTTTGTTTCCTGCTGTTCTCCAACACCCAGAACATTGTCTGGCACGTAGTAGGCACTCAGTTTCCATTCTATGAGCAAAGATATGAAGGCTCAGAGATGTTAAGAACTTTGCCTAAGGTCCCTCAGGCAGTCGGCAGCAGAGCCCAACTTGGACCCAGAAGTGTGGGACTTTAGATTTCCACCACCAACTATCTCAGGATGAGTTCGGTGAAGGAGACTAAGAGAGCTGATCCACCAGCTGAAGCACCTGGGTCTCCAGACCAGCGGGTCCCTAAGAGGATATAGCACCAGCCATGTGGGGTCCCGGGGGAGCAGGAAGCTAGAAGGAGCAGAGCTTTCCTGCACAGGAACCTCTAGTTTCCTCTAGGTTTCCTGCTAGGAACTTCCTGTCCAGGATGGTGAGAGCGCCCTGTAGCCTTCCAGCAGGGACAGAGTAGCTGCTGGCCAGATCAGTTCACACAAGCGGTTTTCCGCTTGGGCAGTTTTGTCTTCCAGCAGAATCTACGCCCCGTGTCCTCAGGTCTTAGAAAGAACTGACCGCTTCCGCCATGGCAACCAAGGCGAGTCACTCCTCCCCTGGCCTCAGTTTCTTCGGTTGTAAAAAAAGCAGAAAGGGAGGAGCTTCCAGGACCCTTTGCTTTTAGAAAGCAGGAATTTTGTGATTTTTCTCACTCCAGATCCAGCTCTGCTGTCAGAAGCTCAGGCAGGGGTCTGTGGAGGCCCCCACACCTCGGCTCTGTCATTGTCTTACTGAGCACATACTGTGTGCCAGACACTTGCCATTAGAAGCTCCTTTAGTCCCTCAGTAACACCACGAGGTGGGCTCTAGTGTGTCCCCATTTTGTAGGAAGAGACAGGTACAAAGCACACCATTCCGGGGGAGAGACCTAGGCTGTCTGACCCCAGGGCAACTTAGCTCCTTGCACTGGCTCTCTGGTCCACAGGGGCCGATCAGGAAGAGGTGCCAGTGCTCATGGCTCGCTGTCCAGGATGGCCTTGTAAGGGCTGCTCAGAGGGCTCCAGCTCCAGGCCTTGATGCCTAAATGGGGTGATTTTTGCAGCCACTATCTCCTTCCTTGGCCCTTTTTTGTCCCCCAAAACCCTCAATCAAGAGAGTGGGAGGAAAAAAAAAAAGCAGTGTCCCTACTGCCAGAGGGGAAGACCTGGTGAAGGGCCTTGATTGAGTTTGCTTAGGACCAACACTTAGGAAATAGTTCAGTTTGGGGATAACTTAGGGGAGAAAAGAATAACTGGGGTCCAGAAGGGGGACCCAAAACTTTGGGACTCACCTGGGGCAACGTGGCCAGAGCCCAGATGCCTCCATTTGTCATGGCTCAGCCTCAAGTCTGTCTGTCTCCTCAGGGAGGGACGGCTTTCTGGGGCCTGCCCGGCGCCGCCTGCCAGCCCTGGAGCGGTCACATGAAGAGGTCACCAAGGAGGAGTGGACTGTCCCTACTTGTTTGGTTAGAGGGCCAAGTGGAAAGAACTCTAAGCTGAGAGGCAGGAGACGTGACCTCAGTTCGATTCTGAGCCAGTCATTTGCCCTCTCCCATGTGTCTGCTGCCCTGAGAAATGGGCACATGTGGGTGGCTACCCTTTGCCTGCCCCATCTTTACCCTCCGCCTGCATGCGGAGGTGAGTGGTAGGAGTAAATAGATAAAGAGTTCTGTGTTTTAAAAACACAGCGAAAGTGAGTGAATACTGCGGGAATTCAGGGAGTTGTTCCCTAACATGGGAGGAGGAAGGAACTTGAAAGGAGCCGGGCACATGGGCCTCCCTCCCTTCCCCCCTCTCTGTGCCCTCTGCTCAGCCCCTTGGCAGCTCTTCCTGAACTTGTTTTTCCAAATCACTAATTAACTTCACGCTCAGCTCCCAGGTGGGCCAACTCTCCTGGCTAACTTTTCCTCGGAGAGAGCGAGCGGAGAGAGCGAGCTCCCGCTTCCCATGCTCCCTGGCAGAGCCTGGATATGCTGGCCCCGCCCCTTACCCCAACCTCCTCTGCTTCTGGGGATGGGGGAGTGGGCAGTGCGGGGACTCTGGGTTCCCAGCATCCCCACCGCCACCAGACAGGTCCCTCCACCAATTCGTCTCTGGATGGCCATGGAGAGCCCGCAGCTGGAGCCATTTGCCTAAGGCCCACATCACCTGTATTGCCTGGCCAGCCCATTGCTCAGGGAAGTAAAATGAGGTCAGAAAAGGAAGTTGAAATTTACCTTTACAGGAAAGCAGGAGACAGGAGAAGCTCCAGGCAAAGTTATTCAAGGAGGGGAAGTGTTATCTGTGGCCTGCCACCTCCCTTCTCCTTCCTCGCTGATCTCATCAACTTGTCCCTGTTCAAGGGTAACACACAAGAGATCTTAGTGTGATGGGTGTCTATCTTAATCCAAAGGTACACATCCCTAAGGTTGAAGTAGCACTCATCAGGGAGTTGGCTGGGGGCAGTGCTGACGGTTCAGAGAAGACTTTCCTGGGTCTGTGAACTGATCGATCCTGCCCGGGAGGTGGTGAAGACAGTGTGTTGTAAAGAGAAGGTACAGCCTCTGAAGTTAAACCGTGGTGAGTTCAAGTGTGGTTTCCACCCCTTCCAGGCTGTGTTACCTCAGGCAAGCACAGAACCTCTCTGATGCTCAGTTCCCCATCCTTGAAGTGAGATGACGAGGCTTACGTCGTCATAGGGTCACGGGGGGACTGAAGGCGGTAACATGTACCCGTACCCAGCCGTGCCAGGACGGAATAGACAGCTAATGAATGTTCATTCCCAAATTCTCTCCTCAGACTCGCTCCTGCTTCAGAAGCCCCGGAGATGCTGCTGCTTCTATTTCCCAGCTCCCCTTGTAGGAGCTCCCATTGGTGTTAAGCAGAAGTAAGAGCAAGGCATGCCTTCTCTCCCTTCCAGCGCAGACTCTCAGGGAGCAAAGCATCTCCGAGAGGCACCATTAGACAGGAGGCAATGCCATAGTCAGGTGGAAATCAGGGCAGGGCAGGCGTGGGGGTTGCAAGTGGTGGAGGGGCCACAGTCCTTCCTCATGCACCTGTTTGAAGTAGAGCCCTCTGTTTGGGGAGGGCAGGCAGCAGCAGGGGGCGTAGACCTTGGCAACAGGTACCCTGACAGTGGTGAATAACAGATGAAGGCTCCCTAATTGGTGTTATTACACATGCATTTCCTCTCCATTCATAATGATTGGACACTTAGACCTCTGCTGAGCGCTGCTGTCATCGTTCTAGCTGAGATCCCAGCAGCTGTCTGGACCAGCCGCTGCCACACTCCGATCCCAATGGGTGCAGTTTATTTTTTGTTGGAGCTCAGTTTATTCTGAGCACACTCCTCCTGTCTCCTGCCGTGGAGCATGCTGTCTTCCTTCAGATGCTTCTCACTGTCTGGGACATTCTAAACTGAGAGGCAGGGGAGGGGGGCTAGTACCTGGGGCCTAAGGAGGTGGGGGTGAGTCATGGCTGGAGCTTAAAGACTCAGCTGGCAGAGAGAGGACATGGTCATTCCCACCAGCCCCCTGTCTCTGGGCATATCCCTGAATGCAGCAGACCTCAGAGCTTAGCGTGCATCAGAATTACCTGGAAGATTTGTTAAAACAGATTATGAGGGCCCTGCCCCCAGTATGTCTCATTCAGTAAGTTTACGCAGGGCTGGAGAATTTGCATTTCTAACTAGTTCCCAGGCCATGCTGCTGCTGGTCCTGAGCCTCACTTTGAGGACCACTGTCTTAAAGTCTGGTTCCTCCAAGTGTAGTATGTGGACCAGCAGCCTCACGCGAGAGTTTCTTAGAAAAGCAGAATCACAGGCCCTGCCCTTGACCTCCTGAATCAGAATCACATGTTGACAAGATTCCCAGATGGTTTATATACCGGTTACAGTTTGGGAAGCTTTGAGGCACCACGGGACTGCAGGAGCACGGAGCTGGGCAGGGGGCGGGGCCGCTTAGGAGGCGGGGCCAGGCAGCTACTGTTCCTGGTCCACTTGACTATCTTGCGATCTTCTGTGCACCAGGACAAAAATTGGGAAGTACTACCTTAAAACACCCAAGCAGATGGATAGAGACCGTCTAGGGAGGGGGTTTCAGCCCCTACTGTGTACCTTAATCCTGCCTCTCGCCACCTAACAATTGCTTGGTCACCCCTGCCCCACCCCTCCCACCCCCGTGCACAAGAGAACCCCCCCACCCCCTTCCCCCTGCCCTGACAGCCACCCCGCTCTCCTCCTTGCCTCGCAGGTGGTGGCCTTCGCCTCTCTCTTCTTCATCTTGGTCTCCATCACCACCTTCTGCCTGGAGACCCACGAGGCCTTTAACATCGACCGCAACGTGACCGAGATCCACCGGGTAGGGAACACCACCAGCGTGCACTTTCGGCGGGAGGTGGAGACAGAGCCCATCCTGACGTACATCGAGGGGGTGTGCGTGCTGTGGTTCACGCTGGAGTTCCTGGTGCGCATCGTGTGCTGCCCGGACACGCTGGACTTCGTCAAGAACCTGCTCAACATCATCGACTTCGTGGCCATTCTGCCCTTCTACCTGGAGGTGGGGCTGAGCGGCCTGTCCTCCAAGGCAGCCCGAGACGTGCTGGGCTTCCTGCGCGTCGTGCGCTTCGTGCGTATCTTACGCATCTTCAAGCTCACGCGCCACTTCGTGGGCCTGCGCGTGCTGGGCCACACCCTGCGCGCCAGCACCAACGAGTTCCTGCTGCTCATCATCTTCCTGGCCCTGGGGGTGCTTATCTTTGCCACCATGATCTACTATGCCGAGCGCATTGGCGCCAGGCCCTCCGACCCGCGGGGCAATGACCACACCGACTTCAAGAACATCCCCATTGGCTTCTGGTGGGCGGTGGTCACCATGACGACGCTGGGCTATGGGGACATGTACCCCAAGACCTGGTCAGGCATGCTGGTGGGGGCGCTGTGTGCACTGGCTGGCGTGCTCACCATCGCCATGCCTGTGCCCGTCATTGTCAACAACTTCGGCATGTACTACTCCCTGGCCATGGCCAAGCAGAAGCTGCCTAAGAAAAGAAAGAAGCATGTGCCCCGGCCGCCCCATCTTGAGTCACCCATCTACTGCAAGTCTGAGGAGACTTCGCCCCGGGACAGCACCTACAGTGACACCAGTCCCCCTGCCCCAGAAGAGGGTATGGTTGAGAGGAAACGGGCAGGTGAGATTGGGGGTTGGGAAGGAAAGCCACCTCTCCCCCCGTGGCCCAGGGAGTCCCCAGATGAACTAAGGCCCTTGGAATTTGGGGTTGTGCTTTACTACTCTGGGCTTCCCTGAGGATAAGATGTGCCTTTAACAGTGCAAAGTATTGAGGCCCATCTCTATCTTCTGGTGTTCCAGTAGCTTTCTGAACGTCGGGGTTTGGGGAGTGAATGTCCCACTCAATTTAGGCTGTGATGGGCAGTGCATGGGGTTGTAAATTCCAGTACCACTTTGGCTGCTGTGCTGCGTGACCTGAGGCCAGTCACTTACCCTCTCTGATCCTCACCTGGTAAATGGGAATGATCTCCTACTCCCAAGACGTTGATGAGACCCAAACAAATGACAGATGTGAGAGGGCTTTGAGAAGGAAAAGCCACTTTACAAGCACCAGGCCTTGTCGTTATTAGCTAGACAGCAGGGACAGCTGTTCTTCCAAGGTGCATCAACGCATGAATCATTTCTTTCCAAACACTGGAGTCTGATGTCTCTTGGCCTAATAAATGTGATAACGTAACAGCAGTGGGAGGCTGCCTTCTGTTCAGCACAAATTAGATTGAGTCCTGGGCTCAGGGTTTCACATGGGATGGGAGGGAACCAAGAGGGAACAGCCAGACAGAGTTAGGCAGGGGAAAAGGAAGGGTGGAAGAAGTGGCATCTGCATCCTGGAAGGGGAGGGTCTGAGGGCCTGGAACCTGTTCTTCAAGGATGGGAAAAGCTGCCCTTGGGAAGATGGCTTCCACCCGAGTCAAGAGATGGGAAAGGAAATTGGCTTAACCCGCAGCAACTTCGAGTTAGGATGGAGAGCGGGAACCTGAGGTTTAAATATGCGGTGGGCTCCCAAGGGAGGTCTGGGATTCCTGGTCTGGGGAGCCCTTGGATGCCAAGCCCTCCCGGGAGCTGGGGTGGGCCAGGAGACAAAGATAGTAGCTTCTACAGCCAAACTCTGGGGGCAAAGTGGGACTCATCCTCTGCGGGGGGGATGCCTGACTCGAGACTCTCACTTGGCCTGTTGGTTGGGACCAACATGGCGTACATGCTGGGGCTACTCACTCCGTGGGGTCATTTGGGGGCCTGGGTCTTCCAGAGACCTTGATGGAACAGGACCCCTCAGGCTCCCCTCTTCTCCCCCACCAAAGTGGTACCCCCTTCCCTGATCCCTGAATGTAAATCTCCCAGCCAGTGCCCCAGGGGATTTCAGCTATACCCCGAGGCCCGTTCAGAGCTCAGAGGGAAACCTAGTGTCAGAATGGCTAAGGCCCAGCACCAGTTCCTCAATGCACACTTACCACGGCCCCGTCAGCTATGCCTCAGCCTGACCCTAACCGTTTGGCTATGGTCAGGGCATTTGTGGCCGATGCCGAGGCCACTGCCTTTAGACTGAGCGGGCCCCTCTCCAGAGCTGAGGGCACCCCCGTGCTGCTGCCTGGCGGAGGCCGGGGGTTTGGGGCTAGAAGCCCACAGCAGTGGGAGCTGCACTGGAGCATCTCCAGTTCAGGGTCTTCCCCAGGCAGGGGAGCCCCAAGAAGAGGGCTCTGAATCCTTCAAGTACTCGACTCTGCCTTCGATGCCCAGTAAACAAGAGTAACTGCCTTCAGGGGGCCCAGGGAGATGGCCGAGGAAGCCACTTTCTCGGTTTAACCCTGACAATGCCAGCCCTCATCCCAGCAAGCCAGGCGTTCTCTGACGGAATGCATACTCATCCAAGTGTCAGCCTGAGCCAGACCCAAGGAGGAAGCAGTCTGCCACCTGCCTCAGGCTAATCCCTTGGAGCAGCCCGCAGCAGACAGATTTTAGGAACCCCTGCTTCGGGTATCTGTAACTCCGTGTCCTGGGAAAGATGCTAGGCCAAGGCTGAGAAGGAGGCAGGACCCCTGCCCCCTGCCCCCTGCCCCCGGCCCTCCTAGGCAGATGCCAGGCCCCCCGGGTCGGGGAAGTGACACTCTCGGGTCCGGGATCTGAGACCCCAGGCAAGCCCTTGGGGAAGGCCTGGGCAGCCCCTCACACAGCCTCCTTTCTGTCTGCCCCCCTTTAGACTCCAAGCAGAACGGTGATGCCAATGCGGTGCTGTCAGATGAGGAGGGAGCTGGCCTCACCCAGCCCCTGGCCTCTGCCCCCACCCCTGAGGAGCGCCGGGCCCTGCGACGCTCTGGCCCCCGAGACAAAAACAAGAAGGCAGCCGCCTGCTTCCTGCTCAGCGCCGGGGACTATGCCTGTGCCGATGGTAGTGTCCGGAAAGGTATGGCTCCCCAGGCCGGGCAGGTGGGGAGCCCCCGGGGAGCTGAGTCTCCCCAGTGTCACCTGCAAAACTTGAGGTCCCCTCCTCCCCTGAGGCCTTGGCCACCATCTCCTCGGCCTTGGACGTGCCCCCGCTTTTAAGATGGGTACTCTGATCTCCCAGTCCCTGGATTAGAAAGGCCTCAGGCCATCCCCTGGAGGTACACAGAGCCCAGCACAACCCACCCCAGTTGCCCACGGGAAAAACAAGTGCTAGAGGGTAAGGGGATACCAAATCAGGGGTCCCTGCCTTTGCCCTCCATTTTATCACCACCTCTCCCTCTGGTGCCTGCTGCGACCTTGAGGTCTGGCTCCCCAGGGTCACAGCCACCCTTTCCCTAGACCTCCCTGAAACACAGCTAGGATTTCCTAAGTAAGTAGTCCTGAGAGATGGCAACAACATTCAGGAGTCAGGGTAAGAATGAGCTGCTGGTATGCGGTCTTCGGAGAGCCTAGCATAGGCCCTATCTCTGCCATCCCTCATGGGGTGGGGGTGTGGGGCCCAAGAGCCCAGGAGGGTCCCCCCCAGCTCTACAGGCCTCTTGAGGCAGAGCCAGAAGGTGACCAGGAGATGAGGATTGGGGTAGGAGTAGGTAGGGAATGTGTATCCCTCAGAAGTGTGTTCTGAAGGAACCCCTCCGGGGTTCTGGGAAGTAGCGTGATCTCTCCATAAGGGAAGGTTGAAATTCTCCCAGCAGACCCCAGGCTGCAGCAGAAACAGGGCAGAAGCCGGGCGGTGGAACTGGGGATTCCTACCTGCCAAAAGGGGGTCAGAAATGACCGAGGATGGTTGAGGGACAGTAGTGGCTGAGAATAGGAGTGTCAAGAGCAGGTGCTCCTGCCCCGTTCCTGATCCTTTTTTTGTCTTTTTTTTTTTTTCCCTGTTCCTGTGACATAACCTGCCTAAAAACTTAGTTCTGGGATAAACCTTGAGTCCCCCCCTCCCAAAAAAAAAAAAAGCTTGTCCCTGGGTTCTCAGGCCACTTCTTAATCTGCCCTCTTTTAGCCAAATTTGCTCTCCCCACCCCTGCCAAACTTCTCACTAGCCCCAAGCTCCAGACCAAATCTGGGTTGAATGAAGTGGGGCAGGGGCTGCTACGGGATTAGCCCAGGATGCCTATGTCCTTCCAAGGATGTCCCCTGGCCTGCCCATTTCAGCCTGCAAGGCACCTTCCTGGCCCCTGTCCCCATGGGATCTCCAGGGCACTGTGACCCTAACCAGGCCCTGAGGGGTATGTGTCCTGTTCTGCTGGACATATGTCCTATTGGGTAGCAGCAGCGGGAGCAGCCATCTGGCAGCTGGAAGGAGACGGCCCAGAGGCCTAGGTACTCCTGTGGGGCAGGAGGGATCCCCACCTCCCATGTAGGACTTGAGCCGAGTGCTGAGCACCGCAGTTTTCCTGCTGGTATCGTGAGGGGCTCAGTGGCAGCGTGGAAGAAGCTTCAGTGGGTCACACCCAGGACTGGGGTCGCACGTGTGTGTGCATGGGCGGGAAAGTCTGGATCGCACACAGCGCCAGATTCCTCTGGGTGCCTGTGTGGCCCGGCTGTGTTATTTTCAAGATGCCTCCACACTGCTTCTTGGCAGCAAGCATGTAGCTCAGCCAATTAGAGTGACCTTCGAGAAGGAACAGGTGGGTTGCTGGGAAACAGGCCCTGCTAAGCAAGCGTGGCAGTTAGCATCGCCAAACTCCCAGGAAGCACTCGGCAACTTTCCCCGTGCCAGACCGTGCCTCCCTTCTCTGCATTCAGGCTCCGTGTAGGAGCTGGAGCGGGGAGCCCGGGTCTCCTTCAGCCATGGGCACAGACCCCATGGTTAGACTCCGGCTGCCTGAGGATCAGAGTGTGAACTTCCTGGGGGGAAGGGGACTGGTGCTGATTGGGGTTGCTTAGGATGGAGAAGAGGGCTGCTGGAGGCTATGGGGTCTTTGGGTGGCTGGAGGGGAGCTTACCTGGGGACAGTGACAGGGCAGAGATCAGCTGGGGGTGGCCCTGAGGTCTGTCCTCTGGAGCCCAGATGACCTGGAACTCAGGGAAAGTCAGGGAGCCTTCCCCAGGCAGGCCAGATACCTCAACCAGTGTGGGGCTGCGAGCACCACAGGGCCCCCCTGGAGCATGGATCCCACGGAGCTGCTCAGATGAGGGGCCATGCCTCTCTGACCCATGTGCCTTTTCTTCACCAAGGCTGTGCAAAATCCCGGAGTCTAAACAGCATAGCAGGAGCAGCTGGGACCAGTCTGGGGCTGTCTCCGCTGGCATCGAGATACAGCTCACCCTATCCTCCGAGAAAGCTCCTGCTCTCCCACCCCTTCCACCCTCTCACCAGCCCTCCACCCGGACACCCTGGCCCTTAGCCGTGCCCCCGGCTCTCCCCACCTCTGGGCGCACACCACGCTCACATGCCCTCCAGCCCTCATTCCTCCGTAGGCCTGAGGGAGCCGGGCAGGAGGCAGGAGAACCCAGGCCCCCAAGCCTCTCCCCCACAGCACCCAACTCCCCAGAACATTCGGCTCTGGAGCCTGAGAGCAAGGGGGAGATTACTCCCAGGGCTTCTCCTGCACTGGTGTCTGGCCTGAGCCGGAGCTGCTGGCATTACCCACCACTGCCCCCCGGGACTTGTGCCTCTGAGCCTTGCCTCCCCTCAGTGTCCCACCTTCATCCCGGGGAATGCATTTCCACTCCTCGTGGCCTTCAGTCGGTAACCAGCCTGCGACTGACTATCTCTGTCTGTCTGTCTGTCCATCCTACTCCTAGACCAGCAAAGAATAAGGCTGTCCCGCAGGCACCCCATCTCTGCTGGTGCACAGGCTGGTCAGGGGAGCGGTGCCCCCCTGGGAGAGGAGGCCTGATGCTCTCCAGCTCTGGCCTGGCGTGCAGGTGGGGTCCCTAGGGCCCCAAGATTGGCTGGCTGCCGGGGCATGGGAATGCCCTCCTCCTGGGAGTGACACCCTGTGGCGGCAGAACCTGGCATCCCATCTGCACCCCAGCAGCCGTATCTCTCCCGCGCTGCTCTCTCTGCTTCCACGAGTTTTTCTTCCCTCCTCCTCCTGCTGCCTCAGACTCCCAGCCCTGCCTGAGTCACCTGCCGCTCCCACCCAGCCTCTGCGCTCTGGATGGCTGCCAGAGCCGGAGACTCATCTAATTTCTATAATTAAGTGTATTCATTTACCTAATGAGCCCGGGAGCACAACAGGTGTGTGAGTCATTGAGGGAGCAGGGGTGCGTCCTGGGCAGGGGCAGCTGAGGGGAAATGTGGGGACAGAAGCCATCCCACCTCCTCCCGCTCCTGCATAAGCACCCTGTCACTTCCAGGCAGGGCGGGGCTGGGCTGCAGGGGGCCCCTCTCTAGCAGTGAACCAGGGGAGGCTCTCCAGGCCCCCTCTGTCCCAGGACCCCAGAAGGCCTCAGCCAAGACATTCCTGTTTAACCTGATGGGAATTAGACCTGACAGTGGAGCCTGGCAATTTTTAGAGTCAGATTACACAACTTTGGAGAGGGAATGACTAAGGTCCATATCTGCTCCTTCCAGGGTGGGCAAAGGTAAGAATGGCAAGACAGCCTTCAGGGACTCAGCAGGAGGCCGGGGAGTCTGAAGGTGCCCCTGAAAGGTGAATTGGGCAGAAAGTCCAGATCATTTCATGAGAGTTGGGTGTTGTGAAAAGCCTCTGCCAGGACCACCCCCCTTTCAGTGCCCTCTGTCTTCAGCCTGGGGCAGACACAGGAATGTGCCTTCCAGAAAAGTCTGCAGCGGGTCCTGGGATACCCTAACCCTGCTGTGGTCCATGAGGCCTGTCTCTGGCTTGCTCTCAGAATGAGATGAACCCCCAAGAGGTGAGAAAATATGGGGGCATCCATGTGACCACCCTTCAAGAGGAGACAGGCCCCTTCAAGTGACAGGGACAGGAAGCCGTGTGGAGCAGGATGGAGACTCTAGGAGCCCTATCAAAGCTGGGGCTTAGAGTCCAGCTGCTTCTAGGTGAGGACAGATTCAGTCCTGTCCCAGCAGGGGTCCCTGGCCCTGGGGTCCTGGCCCCAGCGGGGACGTGGTGTCTGGCTCTGTGCGAGCCCCACAGCGCTTCTGTGCTTGGGCCTGCTTTCCTGGCTCAGGGAGCTGAAGCGGCTATTTCTGAAACGGCCCTCAAGTTGTCAGGAGTCCAAGTTTCCACGGCACCCACCTCCTCTTTCCCTCTCTTCCCTCCCACAGGGATGGGCATGCTCATGGCACCCCTCTGGTGGGTACAGCTGTCCTTGGGCAACATGATATGGGAGTGCTGGGTTGGAGCCCCTTGTGCCTTTGGGAGATGGGCTCCTGCCTGTCCCCGCACTGGTTCTCTGGCTTCTGTTGGCGAAACACAGGACCTGGCTAATGACGGCAAAGTAGGCCATCCGCCACAGCAACCTCTCAGGACCTCTGGGCCCTGGGAAGGGGCAAAGTGAGTCCTCGATTTATAGAGACCCACTGTATACCGGGCCCTGCCTAGGGAGGTGGCTGCCTGCCCAGGCCTCAACTTATCCAGACCTGGGGCCTCCCTCCTCAGGGAAAGACTCTCTCCTCTGCCTATAATCTGAGAGCACAGTATGCTTTGTGTTGCATGTGGACTTGGACCTGGACCTATTACTTTGTCTCTGAGAAGCCTTTCCCCCACAGCTGGGGCCCACGCTGTCCTGGCAGAGCAGGGAAGCAGCCCAGATAGGAGCTGTTAACCTTACTGACAACCTTAGAGGCATTTCTCAACCCTGGGCGTTGAGGAGGATCTCCTCCCCTGGGCTGTGAGCTGAAACCAGGGTTGTGGGGGTGGGGGGAGTCCATTCAGCATAGGAGCAGGAGTCAGAGGGGAGACGGAATACCAGCCTGAGGGCTGGGACTCCAGGAGTCACCTGTTGGCCCCTGGGCTGCCCTTTCCCAGAGTCCCCTGGGAGAGGGGGGCCTCCTCTGCCCTGGCCAGAGTATCACCCCGAAATCCCTGCCCCCATGGCAGCCTCCTTGCCTGCCCTTCCTGTGTCAGTGCTGGGAAGGTAGGAGAAGGGAAGGCCCACGCCACTGACATTCCAGGCTGAGGATGGGATGGCGAGAAGGGCTCACTGAGCTTTGGGTTTCTCAATAAGATGGTTTTTTCTGGCTTTGTCTCCTGAGATGGACACATGGATCCTCCCTGACCTTCCCCTTTGGTATCTACTCTCCAGCTGCTCCAACTCTGTTTCTGCCAGATTGAGGAAGAGGGGCTGGGCACCACAAGGCAGCACACTTAGGGACCTTCTTCACTAGCCCCCCGGGACAGTGGAATGACCCCAGCTGGTGATGGCAGGTGGAGCTCTGTGGGGGTTCAGGAGCTGTGTGGGAGCCCAGGTTGGACCACAGGTCATGCCAGGAACCTCCTCCAGTGCCTCCGTGCCAGGCTGCAGGGCTGTGGTCCTCCTGCCCACCTCACTGGAGTTGTGACAACCTGAGGGCTGGGGATTCCTGGAGCTCATTACCTGAGTACATATGGAGATAAGCTGTAACATGACCTAGGAGTCACTTGGCCTAGTTCTGGGTAGGCAGCTATGGGCGGCAGGAGGGGCTCACCCCATTCCCTGACCCATCCCTGTGCTTCCCGCCTCTTCGCCCTGGGTCCCCTTGCCTTCCAGCTCTGCTCCTGGCCTAGTCCTTAGCCCACAGGCTGTGGGTCAGCAGCTGGCTTCCTTCTAACATCTCATTCTTTGTTTCTCCCTTTCTTTTGCTGAACTCCTTGCCCCCCAGAAGGCAATGTTGAGCTGAAAGCGTGCGTCCCAGTGTCTCACAACTGTGCTCTTTAAACACAGAGACCTGCCGAGACGCCCTCTCGCCCAGCTATGCCCAGGCTGAAGTCCTCACCCTCTCTTAAGCGGCACCAACGTGAGAGAGGCAGGCAGACAGACAGAAAGCCAAGGCTTAGGGAAACTCTGGAACCCTGGCAAGAATCTTTCGCTGAGAAAGACTCAGAGATCCTTGTTTGCCCAGGACTGATGGAAAACCTCCCATGTGACCCTCTGGGCCCAGAGCCATCTGGGCCCGATGTTCTGTTCTGTTGTACATTGAAGAGATATATATGCACATATAGCGTCTATATTCATACATACTATACTCTCGTGTGTAGTGCACGTGCTTTTGGTGGTCTGTCTTCTTTGTCAGGCTGTGTCTCCCCCAGCCCAGGCCCCACCCCCGGGCTCCCCCACCCTCATCCCCTTCCCCTTCACTGACTCCTTATCTCTGCTGAACACGTATGTGGAATGTCCCAGGAAAAGAGCGTCTGGGAACAGCCAGTCCCACTGGGAGGGATCCCAGGCTAGACTTGCCCTCTTGGGGTGGTTTCTCCTGTGGCTTGTGGTCTGTGGGAGGCTTGCTTTCCCCCCAGGGCCACTTCCCCACTAGCCCCATCCCACCCCAGATTGGGGTTCTACCTCCCACCCTCGCCTCAATTTGGGGGGGACTTCCAGGGGCTCCTTGGCTACTCCTTCCACTCCTTCCACTCCTTCCTCCCCCTTACCTCTGTCCTGGACTGAGAGGGGCGTTTTGTCTTTTTTTTTTATTTGGGAGTTTTTGTTCTGTCCCCTTTGTCCGTTTGTTTTCAAAGATGCTGCTGGGCAGACGGGCAGGGAAGGGGTCTGTCTGCCCATCCGGCTCAGGGGTCTGAGAAGGGGACGCCTCGGGCGAGTGGAGACCAGTTGCAATACTGTACTTCCTGGCCGGTGGCCAGAGGACCGTGCAATAGCAGAGGCCGGGTGACCCCTTCAACCTTGGCCTCTGCCCCTCCTGCGGCCCTCCCTCCCCACTCCACGCCCCCCACCTCCTGCCCTGTCCCTTCCTAGTGTTGGTCAGTCCTTTTCTAGAGCTGTCCCGTCATGTGTGTGTCTGAGGCATGCCGAGGCTGGGCCCTGCTGCCCTGTCTGGATGTCCCCCACTGTCATGCCGTGCTCGAGCCCCAATAAAAACATCTGGAGCGTCCTGCTGCTTCTGCCGTGAGTGACTGCCTCTGCCTCTCCTTTCTGGCTCTGTGTCTGTGGGGACATCCTGGGCTTCTATCCCAACACTTGAGAAATGCAGCACACTCCTATCATTGGCAGCCCCCGCCCCCACCAGGAATCATCGCTACCTCGCCACCCCTGCACTCAGAGCTAGACGTGAGTGCTCAGAGAGGAAAAAGGATTGCCTGGGGTTGGGAAAGGAAGACCCAGCTCCCCCACCCCCAGCGTTCTGGTCTCCGCTGGTGCCCCCTGAGCCCCACCATAGCCTGGAAGGACGGAGGGGTTTGGAAGGAGTGCCCCTGTATTCCTGCTTGTTTCTGTGGGGGAGGGGCTCCTCCCAGCAATTGTGCTAATTCTATGTGGGCCAAAGCCCTGGGGATGCCCAAGGCACGGTGACGTCTGGGTGGCTGTTGAACTGAGGCCAACAGGGGAGTAACAGCACATCTGGAACTACTGAGGGGTGGGGAATGATCAAATCCTGGGCCCAGAGAGGATGGGGGTCGTGGTACGTAGTGGTGACACACGGCCCCTCCCGAGGTTTTCCCCGCTCACTCATGTCGGGGCACCTGCGGGGCTGACTCCCAGGCGTGCAGCTTCACGCTCAGCTGTCACTGTCTTGAAATCACAGCAGAGGGGGCCCTGCGTGTTCATTTGGCACTGGGCTCTGGAAGCCATGCAGCCACATCTGGGGACGTGTGTCCGTCCGCCTCACCCTCTCTTATTCCAGGCAGAAGCGAGAGGCCCAGGGCCTCAGTTCAACGTCTGGATTCAAAGCTCGCCGCATGCTAGCTGGGTAACTTGGGGCGGCTCACTGAGCCTCTGTTTCCTGGCCTGGAGAGAACGGGAATCACAACAGCCCCCATTTCAGACACCATGAGTGTCCAGACCTGGCCTGGAGCCCTCAGTGTGCACATGACACACGATGGGTGCCCGGCAAGTTGTTAGTCCCCTCCTCACACTTTGCTGTAGCTCTCAGGCCTTTGCCCACAGACTTCTGAGCCCTCCTCCATGTCCGGTCACAGGGGGCAGGGGCGAGGGAGGCAGAGCCGAGGGGATAGAAGAAGTGAGGGGAAGCCTGCTCCTCAAGTGGGAGAGGAAATCGGGCTTGGAGCCGGAGCCAGCTGAGGCAAAACGATGGCAGACAGCCAGTTGTCAATTAAAGATAAGATCTCCTCCGGCCATGGAGGGCGAGTGGGGGCTGCAGGGCCCCCCCAGACTGGAGAAAGCCATTTGCAGCTAGGCTCGCCTCAGAGAAGCCTGGCCGGGCGATAATGGGCGGGGATGCACTGCTGGCTCTGTAATGATATTATGCATCAGGGCCCACGTCCAAAATGGTTGTTTTCTTGTTGTGTTTTTTTGAGGATGAGTGGAACCATTTTATGGTCAGGGGCCAAGGGCCAGCAAACAGCCCAGGGGTACCAACTGCCAGGGTGGCCCTGAGGGGACCCCAGGAGATGCAGCTGGAGTCCCTGGTGACCGTCTGATGACAGACTTCTGGAGGGGAGAGGGGCGGCATATGAGGGTGGAGAGTTCAGGGAGAGAACAGACCAGCCCCCTGCCTCACCTCACAGAAACAGCGGGCAGTGCGGTCAGGGAAGAAAGGCAGTGCCTTCCTCAAAAAGCAGTGCCTGAGCCCAAATTACCGAGCTGGTCAAGAGAACAGGACACAGGTGTCCAAGACTGACATGGGGAGTCAGACAGACTCAGCTGTCTAGACTCAGGAGTCCTGGCTCCAGGACTTTATTTTATTTTACTGTTTTTAAAGATTTTTTTTTTTTTAATTTGACAGAGATCACAAGTAGGCAGAAAGACAGGCAGAGAAAGGAGGAAGCAGGCTACCCGCTGGGCAGAGAGCCCGATTCGGGGCTTGATCCCAGGACCCTGGGATCATGACCTGAGCTGAAGGCAGAGGCTTTAACCCACTGAGCCACCCAGGTGCCCCTGGCTCCAGGACTTTAATCCAGACTCAGGAGTTCTGGCTTTGTGACTTCCTAGCTCTGTGACCTGAGGCGAGTCACTTAACCCCTGTGAACCTTTGTTTCCTCATCCATGGAATGGGAGTAAGGAGAGCGCCCAACTCACCGAGCTGTTGGCAGCACTCAGGGAACTTGCCTCTAAGGCCGTGGGTGCAGTGCCCAGCACAGAACCGTTGCCCACAGATATTGGGGGCAAGGAGAGTGTTGTGGAACAACTTATCCTAGTAGCCCTCCCCAGTTTGGTTTACAGCCTCTCCTTCCAACTAAGTGCTACAGATTAACCTCATTTCGGTAAAGCCCTTCTCTCTGTGTGGAGAAGGCAGAGTAGGGGTCATAACACCAGACAGCTAACACTTATGGAATGTTGGCTGATATATCCAATGCCCTTAAATAGGCATTCCGAGATTGGCATCCCCATTCTTGTTTCATGGAGAAAACTGTGGCACAGTACGTGGGTTCATTTCTCCAAGGTCACACAGCTGAGAAGTGGCAGAGCTGGGATTTGAACCCAAGCCGTCTGTCTCCATGAGTCCAAGGCTCCGCTGCTTTTTAAAAGGAATGGGGCTTCTAAGTCAGAACCCCAAGGGTAGGTAGGGATTTGCGCTTTTAATGTTTTTCATTTCTTTCATCTCAATTGATTCTGCTAGCAAAGGTATTGTTTTCCCCTTATAGGACTGAGGAAGTGAGGGATCTGGTGGTACTCCCCCTCTCCCCCAACACACACACACATAAAAGGGGATGTCATTAATTAATTAGCATGACTCCCAACTCGGAATTGGTTCCTTCCTCTGCAATCCACTGAGTTTTTTTGTCTGAGGCTCAGAAGGGGCTGACTGGGATGAGGTCCGATCTGGAGACCAAGTTACAGCAGGAGTGGCTCCGCCTGGAGAAGAAATGGGATTCCTCTCCAAGGGGAAGCGGGTTTAGCTTATTTTCTGATCCCAGAGAGCAGACCTAGGACCAAAGGTGGAAATGTTAGAAGGACAGATTGGGGTCAAATAAAGAAGAACCTGACTTTTTGTTTTCCTTGCTATTAACAAATTTCACGCACTGTATTAAAAGCACCCCGTACCAAATCAACAGGGAAGGAAGGCCCCGTCCCGCTCCCATAGTCCTATGCTCCTCCTTGGAGGTGACTCTGTTAATTGGTGACACTGGCAATTGGGTCCTTCCAGACCTTGAGAAAAAGGGAAGCTTTCTAACAACTGCCAAACAGGAATGGCCTGCCCTGTGGGTATGAGGTCCCCGTCTCTGGAAGTGTTTGGAGAGATCCTGGGTGGTCACGTGCCAGAGTTGGTGGGAAGAATATCTGCTGGGCGTGGGAGGTTGAATTAGAAGACCTCTTCCGGTTCTCACATGTTCTGCCTGGAGGCTTGGGGGTGGCACCCTGCAGCTCCATAGTGGGGCAGGCAGGTCCGGAGCCCAGGTCTTCCTAACAGGACCCGGATGAACTCCTCTCCCAGCATGAATTTCCTCCCAGCCCTTTACTCTGGTGGGTAACTCCCTGGTAGACTCTCTGTTTGCCTCTTTCCAGCCAGTCATGGCTGCCTGCCAGGGCAGAGACTGGCATTTGTGGGGCGTCTGAGCCGATGACTTGGTTGACACCCTGGGCTCGGGTTGACGATGTGTAGCCAGTCCCCACCCCTACAGCCTCCTGGGGCTCTGACAGCCTCATCAACATGAGCACCTGCCTTCTTTGCCAGGCTCTGGGCCTTTGTGGGATCGACACGACAGGTGGCCCATGAACTGGCCCAGTCACTTGGGGCTGTGGTCACCACACCTGAGCCCTGGACAGCGTTTCTCTAAAGGCTACAAGAGCTGCCAGGGACGCTGGGACCTGCTCTGTCCTGGGGAGCCTCAGCTGGGCCTGACCATAGCATCATGGGCTGAGGAGAGGGAGACAGGAGGAGAGATGTTGGGTCTCCAGATCAGAGGGTCAGAGGCCTTCGGCTATCGGTGCTGGAAGCTTCTCCTTTCCTCATGGGGCTGAGGGACCAGCCTGTCACCCTACCCCTACCCTCAGCCCCAGGCACCATATTTACCTGCCTTCAGGGCTATTCCCTAAGAGGCTCCCCAAACTGCAGGGCTCTGCTTTTTGCTGAGTTAGGGTCCCTGCTTCCCTACCTCAGCAATTCCTGGTGTGGGGAGAGGGGGTGGTCAGAGGAGGTCCCTTCCTTTCTCTCTCTACTCACTCTCCCCTAGGTGATCT